CCTAGAAGTGTTTGACAAACACCATTTGTGGAGTCGCAAAAAATTTAAAGCCAAAATCCGTAGGGCGGATGCTAATATGCCAAAATTCCTTAAGGATATAATACTACATTATTCTCTACGGCCAAAGGTTGAGGAATAATTGAAACGTCTCAAACACGAAGGTACAATCGTACCGGTTCAACCATCCGTATGGGCAGCACCGAGAGTCACTGTGCTCAAGCCAGACGGCAACGTGCGGATTTGCGGTGATTACAAACTAACAGGGAATCGCGAAACTATCATGGACCATTATCCCATACCAAAATTTGAATATTTAGATGCCAATTTATCTGATGGGGTGAAGTCCACTAACTTTAATTTAACCCAATTATTCGCAGATGAAATTGTACGAGGGTTCTCGCCGTTTACTACAATTAGCACACATGTGGGTTTATTTGAATACACTAGTCTCCCATTTGGAATTAACTCTGTCCCGGGGATTTTCCAAAGGATAATAAACAACGTCGTTTGGGATATATCGAATACCTCTGCATATCTTGATGACCTACTATTCACGATCAATGCAGTGGTAGACCATCTGCGCCCTCTGCATCAGGTCCTACTCAGACTGTCCGAAAACGGGTTGCGTTTGAAGCGTTCCAAATGTGCTTTCTTAGTTGATTCCCTTTGGTAGCTTAGATATCGATTGGATAAAAATGGATTATATGCAAAAAAAGAACAAGCTGGAGCTCTTAATTAGTGCACGCAATCCACACAACAAAGCACAGTTACCTTCCTTCGTTGGGATGCTTTCACACTAACGTCTTTTCTTACCTGACCTGTCCTCCGCGATCGCACCTTTCCATGATTCAGTTAAGAAAGTTGCCAAGTTGTCATGAATAAAGAAAGAGGAACAAGCACTTTTGAAGGCGAAGAATCCAATTGTTTCTTTTCCTGTACTAGTGCATTATGTTCCAAACAAACCTCTTGCGTTACCATGAGATGCCTCGTCGTTTGGAGTGGGAGCAGTGCTAGGACATCAGATTCCCAACGGAACCATCCTTGTTATTGCTTTCGCATCTCGAACACTACAGGCCACTTAAAGGAATAAAGCACAACTGGACAAGGAGGCACTGGCCATGATATTTGGTGTTAAACGCTTACATTAATAATTGTGGGGCAATCAGTTTCAGATACAGACAGATCATAAACCACTGATTTCGCTGCATGGTGGGGAACTACGTATAGAACAAATTGATACACCCCGTATGCTATATTGGGCACTCATCCTTTCCAATTACAACTATCGAGTTCCCTACACATCTGGTTCCCACAATAATATAGGCGATGCCCTCAGTAGATTGCGACAAGAAGAGCAAATTAACGAGCAAGAGGAGCGACTTGCTAGTTCGTCCAGTCGGTATATCAATGACACCACTACAATATCCAGCGACATGGTTTGGACAGCTACATACCGAGATCCGGTTCTGTCGACTGTGAAACGCTTGATGTTACGCGGTTGGGATTAGTGATAAACTGAGTCTCACGTCCGTTCTTCTATTGCAGATTGGAGCTCCGTCTGCATGAAAGATGCATCATGCGTGGATCTCGGATCGTTATTCCGTCTGCTCTCAGATCAACCGTATTGAGAGAATCACATGATGCTCATCCAGGAGTCGTCCGCATGAAAGCTCTGGCCAGAACCTACTGTTGGTGGCAGGCAATTGGTCGAAATATCGAAGCTCCGTTGAACACATGTGCTATATGCCAACAATTTCAGAAAGGTAAACCACCGGTCCGATTCAACCCTGGGAGCTACCTGACTGTCCACATGAGCGTGTTCTTGCAGACTATTTCATTTTGATGGAAGGGAAAATGCTGCCAATAATGGTGCATGCGTACTCAAAATGGACAGATAAACATATTGTCCCTAGCGCTACTTCGAAAACTATACTTAATAAAGTACCCACTAGCCTATCCACATTTAGTGACAAAACATTTAGTTACGGATAACGCTCCACAATTTACGAGTGCAGCTTTCGAACAGTATCTACAGAGTAACAGCATCAACCATCTGAATTCTACATCATATCATCCAGCATCCATTGGCTTGGCAGAGAGTGCGGTACAAACTGTGAAGGCTGGTCTCCTGAAGCAAAGCGAAGGATCTTTGAGCACCAGAATAAATCAGCTCTTGTTAGCTTATCGTGTCACACCCTTGGAATCCATCGGCAAATGTCCTGGGGAGACAACTTTTGGGCGTGGCCTACCCATAAGGTTAGATGTGTTGTTTCCACACCCCCGTCAAACCAGGCTTTTCCAGTAACTGCGAATGCACCAGATTGGACACGTACGCAACAAAACCCAGAGTCTATTACCGAAACTGGATGTGTAAACAAAGCTCCTACATGAGCCGAAATGGCAGGTCGAAACCGTACTGACCAGTTCACGAACGGAAGACGAGATACAGCCGGAAACCGGAGAAACTGTACGCCGGCACAACGACTTTATTCGGCCTCATGCATCTGCGGTATCAGAACTCGAGGACGAAACCGTTGACACAGAACAAACTGAGACGACAGAAGAAACTCAACTGGATGAACTTGATTTACCGATCGTTGTTTAAAGCCCACGACATTCGCCCAGACTAATAGAACGTCACATTTTACAACCATGATTTTCTCGCCATGTGAATGGATGTTGCGGATATCCACGACCAATGCGTCACGCCACACCCAATAACTACACGCGCTGAAGCACATGACTATGGTGCATTTGCTGATTGGTCTCAGTTTCTCATTGGTTCGTTTTGGTCCCATATATTTTCATTTGGCTCCGGTTGGGAGTAGAGTATAGATTCATATCCACCATCCTGCATTGGAGTTTTTCCTAGTTCCAAACGGAGTACGGGTCCACACACTGGTTAGGAATACTCGATCGATAAGTAAAAGGGTGCTAAATATTTGGAACAAACTGCCTACAGACATAACCTAAGCAAAGTCTGTGCCGCAGTTTTAGGTACTGGGCTCGCACTTTGCCCACTTGATAATTCGAGAATAATCACTATCATAATATGCTTATAATATATTATATTTAGCTACACAGAGGCTTCTCTACTCGCTTCATTTTCTCATTATTTAGCATTTAGAGACGGCGGCTGAAGCAACTTAAATAGCAAATAAATGGGGACAAAATGACCCTTTTAAAATCACCAGTTATTGGTGGGTGAAGAAGTTTTTCGTCAGCCTGGTAAACGGAGTACGCCTGATGAAATAATTTTTCATCAGAAGAACGACGGGAGTTTGAACGCCTGCGCCTAATAGATCGTGTAACAGTATTTCGCGGTTCACACATCCGAAAGTTTTGCAAGAATCCAGTAATGCGAAGCGGATGGACTTGTTTTTATTATTCAGTGACGAGAGCGCTGTACGTACCAATATGATACCACATCTAAGATGGACCCTGAACTGCGATATGCTAACTGATGCTGCTCATCCAACTGGGTCTGCGCTTAGACCCTTCTAAGAATAAGCCTCACCGATTTCTTAAGAGCAACCGACGTGCATGTGATTGGAGGGTATTTGCCTGTTCCATTCTTTGGCACTGGCGTGATGTTTCCGCTTCCCCACATGTCCACTATCTTGCACTTCTTGAAAAACAGCGTGTACAAATCAGTGACAGGCAGTGTCAGCTAATTTGCTCACCCCTTGTGAACGACAGGAGAGAACTTATCCGGACCAGGTAATTGATCACATGCAACCCAAATAATTCTTTACGTATTTTTAGGATGTTCACAGAAGTACGGTTATCTGAGGCTAGCTGTAATTCATCGGAGTATATATCAAAGTTGGTCCACATCCGGAGGTAAGTGCATGACTTCGCGGGTGCCTGCTTAAGTATTTCAGCATTTTCCATTTATCATCATAATTAATTTTCCAAGTATGGCTGAAAGGCGGATAGAGTTAAAGCGATACAAATCGATTTCTTATATCAGTTATTATTACTGATGTAACATTAGGTTTCAATGCCTTTTCTCCAAACTGATAGGGAACAAGGTTAAGAAGGACACCCTTTTCAATAATTCTCATCAATTGTTCACAATTATAAAATAGAATATTGGCAAAGAATAGGCTGGTTAAGCGCGGCACAGATTTGCAATTTGGCTCATATTTGGTGGGAACACCGTATGAGCAATGAGCATGTTCGATGCCTAGTTTATGGCACAGGTAGACGAAATGTACCTCTCAGCACCGTTATTTCATGCACCAGGCTCCGATGGCTGGGCTACTTGTTGCGTATGTCAGCCCACCTACTCCCGGGTCCTGCGTTGTTTGCGCGCCAGGGTGTGGATAGAAAAAGTGCAGGGTTGGCCAGTTCACGATATGGTCACGAAGGATGTAGGCCTTTAGTCCGCAGTTGGCCTCGGTTGGAGCCTCTCAATTCCCTGATTGAGGCTCGAAAGTCGGTGAACACGTTTGGCTGGATATAATTGTTGATATGGCGAGGAGCCCATCTTCCGCTTAGCCTCCCCCGACAACCTCGATCTCATTTCGTACGCAGAATATAGTGATCTTTGCGGCACAATGGTCGACTGGCAGCTCTCCGGAATGATGCCCATACGTTAGGAGTGGCTAAACTTACGTGCCTCTTACGAGTTTATTCTATTTTGTATTGCGGTACAACAGTTGAGGCGTTTTCACCCCTAGCTAACTTGTATAATTATGATAATTATGTGGTCAGCGCCTGCATGCCAAATCTCATTTAGCCAGTCTCTCGCGTGTTCCACCTTCTGGGATAGTTTTTGTGTACAAGCTAATCCTCATGGTTGCTCGTAACCTTTCGCTTACGTGTATTTTTGGTCCTTTAGATCCATATATTTTTCTACGCACTGCGTCTTCAGCCGTCATTCCACTCTGCATTTTTGTAAAGTTAAACGATCGGGAAGGTCTGTTTCAAAGTTACTGCTACCTCGACTGTTATAGATTTCCACTTCATTTCACTCTTCACCCTAGCAATCAGCGATGTTTTGCGGCGGTCCAGGAGCTGCTGGTTTGGTTCACTTCCGATCACTCTCCGATTTGATCATCATGCTGTATCCCATGGCTCCTATCTTGGCTTGCAAATTGTGGTCACGTTTACAACTTGTCTGCCAAATGCAGGCAGCTGGTCCAGCGCTAGAAGCACCTTCTGTTTTGGCCGATAGTTCTTCCACAATTGCGTCATCTTCCGATTATTGGCCTTACGACTTGGTCTTTTTCACATCTGCACTGACTTACTACCTTGTGTTCACCGTGTTTTAATGCAGTGGGACGAATTTTATATCTGGTCCACTTTGTTATGACTTAGTTGCTTTAAGATAGTTGGTCTTTCTTCCTCTTGCGCTCGATTGTTGGAGCAGATGCTTGCTAACCCGTAACTACTGTTCCGCATACTGCAGATTCACATAAGGTACCAAGTACCCGCTTCCTTCACCTCACGTACCGGTTGTAGCTGAACACCGAATACCTCACCGTGCGTTTCCTACGTCCTGCCCAATCATCCTTCGGCTGGAATTCCCACTACCATTTCATTTTCGCATTCAGTTAGCCAACTAACAACTGTTCCTTGGGCCCATTGGTGTTTGCTCAGGGTTTGCTACTGTCCGACGTTTCCTTCGTAGGCACTTTTGCTTTGCTGTCCTTAACTTTCTTGTTGAGCATCATCATTTCGGTCACCTTACCTAGATTCAATGCATTGCAAAGCCTCGATTCGGTCACTCTGTTCGGATTAAACTTAACAGATAACGTTCCCAGTTTCCACCGGTAGGCTCAACATGATGCCACGCATCACCCACTCCGCTATCGTTCATGCATTTTTCATCACTCTCATTACACCTATGAGGCTATTTCGACTATGTGCTCTTTTTTGCAGAGTAAGCTCGTGCTGGAGCAACCGTTTCCGCCATGTTCTACGGATTTCAAACTGGTTCCTGATCCGCTTTCTGCACGTTCCTCTTCTGAGTGTGACGAAAGAAGAGTAGAAATCTTTGCACTTGGACCTGTGTACAGTATCTGTAACTAATCTCAGTGTATTGCCAGGTTAAAATGTATTCTGATAATGTACAGGTCTTTCATTTTCCTTACCTGGCAATTATTTGTCGTTGCTGTTGAAACAGTCTCACGCTAAATCAAGCTAAGTTTGCTTGGACACACCTCTGCACCCACAGAATTCTGCTCTAGTTTGAAAGCTCAATCTCTAGCTCTGGGAATTTGTTTATGTCTGTGTCGCAACTTGCATAATCGTCTTCGATTTTTTAAAAGCGCAGAAATACATCACCCGTTGTTGGATTTGTCGAATTATTCCACACTGTTGTGTTTATTGTCGGGCGGTTTTCTGCTTGTACCCCGATTGGGCGCGTTCGGCGTTGTTCCACAGCCAGTCTCGTTCTCGCTTGATTCCATCAGAGGCAGACAGTCAGAAGCCTTCTAATGCTATTATCACTAGGCCACTGAGATCAAAGAACCGGGCTGGCACTTCGGTTAAGGATCCGATGCTCTAACGTCCCCGCCATATTTGAATTACGACGCGCAACATCTATTCGAACCTCTGCTCGTCATCACCGTGCACAGTAGCTAGAGATATGGAGCACCTCCGCTCTATTGTACCGCAGTATAGTCCGATTACATGGTGGGAACCGACAAGGCTATGCACAATAACAGCAATAAAACGATGCATGAGTGGTATTGTTATGCTTTGTGTTAGATTTTGCGCCGAGACTGCGATCGTAGTTAATGCGACGAAGCTAATTAATGAAGGGAAGAATAAAGAAAGTCACAACACGTACACTATTATGATCAGCTCTTGGCCATTTCTATACGCGTCTCCCAACTAACATGTTCATCTTCTTCGGGGCATTCACAAGGAAAGCACCAAAGGGGACCAATTTTGAAGTGAGACCCTGCATTGCTTTGACCAAGTCATCGAATGGCCTCACCTCTTCTTTTTCCGTCCAGTTCCCTGTCGCATAAACGACGCAAGTCTGGATAGCCAATTTGTTAACAGGAATTCAAGATGCGAACGGATTTGTTTATTGTGGTCAACATCATGGACTATGTGCATCTTTTTTGAGAAACAAAATGTCTACTTATCTACGCGCTTTCCGTTGGGGGCTACGGGTCGCGCACAGCTTCTGTTTCTATTCCTTGCGCGCATACATCCGCGGTTCCTAAGCGCTTGTCTTCTGTAGGGTCGTTGGTAAGGCCTGCTGTTTGCTCGATACCGTTTGGTTTTCATATCACTTCCATACGCCAAACACGTGGCGCAGTAGTACCTGACTTTGGTCCACTGCATGTCGACGTGTTACATATGGCCAGACATCGATTTCCGGTGCGCGAAGTAATGGTTCCGAGAAGTTCAGTTGCTCTTCCTGTGTCATAAACAAAACGGTGAGTGTACCCATGTGATGTTCTCGGTAGACAGGAGCTAAACTGCAAAACCACGGTAATCAGATGTAAATCGCCTCTTAACGTCTGTGAATGTGATGGGTCGGTTTTCACAACTATACAACGTTGAACTATACAATATTGTTGAACAGACGGCTGCGCTGTTGACTGCATTATTTAGGACAAGATTGATGTCCATCTGGCCTCCTAAGTGATGAAGCTTAACGAACGCGCTCAGAGGTGTTGTTGTACGATTTGTGCCTTCGGATCTCGATTCAACCTGAAGTAGTTCTCGGTCACTATTAGCATCGTATCCGAAGTAAAGAGTTTTAGGTGTAACTCTCTTCCATCAGAGTATTCCCTAACCGATTTCGTTCATGTTTGGGCTCAGGTAAATATAATGTGAGTTGGGACTGGAACCGGTACGTAGTGGTTGACGCCTGATAACTAGGCGAATGGGATCCGTGAACAAAGTTTGGTATATTCATTACAATTCAATGTTGTGTTCCGGACTGTCCACTCTGTTCATAAATTGATAAAGCATGCTAATCAAAGGTGGCGTGCTATCCGTTCCGCTTAAGGTCTTACGCATGATATCCGTTCACAGCTGGGTACTTTTGCTAACCGTTGCCTGTGTTCTTTCTGGTGATTGGTTGATTGACTTTTTGTTATACTTTATTGTACTTGTTTTGTTGTACTCTGTTCACTCGCGCATGTCAGTTTTCAAGACTGTTCGTCCTCACGCGTTACATGTTTGATTCGTTCCCAATGAGTTGCGCTTAGCAAGGTCAGACATCACAGTAGTTTTGCGACGGGGTTTCACTGACTCGCGATTTGCAACTCATGATGGTCCCTTTGGAAGTTCTTCAGGAAACCCTGACCAGAGATTCTGAGGGGTTACAGCAACCTTTGCTTGAATTAGTCAACACGTACAAACTCAACGCTTTCCATCACAGCGACACTTGCGAACAGCATGGAAGAACTCCATTATCTGCTAGATGATGGCCTTGCTTTTGAAGCCTAATTTCGCTGTCATGAAGACTGGTTAAAAGTGGATGGGATTGTGCGTCTTCTTTCCATGAAGTTTGGTCCAAAAAACCATAAGGTTTATCATTGGAGGGAACGGTGAAGCACTTTACCAAATTATTGGCCCCAAAAGATCCCATTTTAACGCACCTTTCCTATGTTTTCCTAACGTTAACCATCAGGAAGATGATTTTATGACTTAGAGGTCTGTCGCTAACAGCGAATAGGATCGTTTCTAGTTGGCACGCTCACAAGTGAGCAGCTAAAATCGCCCGTTTTTGTTTATGAGTGCGATCTCAAAATGTTGCAGAGATTCGAACACGATTTTGTCTAGAATGGAGTATAATTCAGAAGTATCACTACAGGACTTTAGACAGGAATGTTAATTTGTGTCGGTGCTAAGCATTGTTTTTGTAACCCGTGTAGTTTCCGCTTTAAATGGACCACCTGGCTACCTGAAACGCTTCCCAAGAGAAACCACTGTATTTCACAACGTTTCCCAAAATAGTCCAACTATCACGAGTTGTGTACCACAAATCGGCAGCACACAGATGGTGAGCAGTAGTAATCTCGCCAATCCACCGAAAATGAGCAGGTTTTTGTTTCCATTCAGCGTATTTTTCCTATCACGCATGTATGAAATAGAAGTCATGTAGAAAGACAGTTATTCCAATTATCATGGAGTGATACGCAGATGAAACCAACGGAGCGATTCTAATTCCCTATTGTCGCCGTCACATAGTGAATAAAATTCTGGTTGATTCTATGAAAGTTCTATATTTAGTAATTTAGTTGATTATTGAAGATTCATGCCAACTGGCAGCCTCCGCTTCTACCTCTAGGGTAGATTGAGAAACAGATTGCGATGTAAGTGGACTCGTGAAACAGGTAATGAGCACAGCTTAACGTTAGATAAAAACAAACCGTTAGCTGCTGGTGCTAGACTGCACAGAAGCAGGAATCCACCCTGGCAGCAACAAAACAGGGAAACTCCGGCAGATTATTAATTATTCTTGAGGTTCGCAAGCGTGCAAATACACAGGGGATGAATACCGAATGATGTGCTCAGATAATGAGATAGAAGCTTTCAAAATGAATCCATGGATATAACTGGTATTCTTCGCTGGATACATCAAATGCCCTCTGCTTGCGTGAGCCTCAAAAAGACAACATGCAATTTGCTCCACCAGAATTTGTAACCTCGCTAATACCTGTGTGGAAAATTAGAGGAACACACGGTGCATTTGCTTATAGACTAATGATTCGAACTTTCCTAAATCCCACCGCCATGTTCAAGTTGCTGACTAACTCTATACAACACATTTTGTACTGTTTCAACCAGCCAAGATCATCCTGTTTGATTGCTACATTGTCGCTTTACTGGGAAATACGTTGCAACTGCTGGTCTCCAAGGCTATCATCAAGGGTAATTTAATGTCGTATGCTTACCATTTTGCTTTACGTCAAGTTGGACTACAGTCGGTTTTCGGCTGAACACAATTAGGCCTTGTCAAGGTCGCTTGATATGCCGCGTGATCGCCAACTGTCTTGTTCTGAAGCCAGATTTTTTATCTTCCGTAAGTGGTACCTATTTTGACTGTAGAACACTAGCAAGATCATATATGCATACTCGGGATAAACGTTGTCCCGGCACAAATCCTTGGACTTCCATTAGGTCGGATCTGGAGCTGCCTACTCTCACATGCAGCTGACGTTAAATGAGAAAGTTGCTAATCCAACCGAGTACATGTACACCGAATCCATCGCTTCGAGGCTTGTGATGAAGAATACGGTTGTCCAGGTGATCGAACTCTTTAATAAAGTCCAGGTAGACAAGTGCGACTCCTCCCCTT